GAGGCAGGGGAGGCTGGGGTGAGGTAGCCTCCTCTCTAGGTGTGTGTAGGGGACGTTGTCTCCACGAGCTGCGTTTTGGACCGTAGGGGTTAGAGAGGAAGCATCCTTAGCATAGCTACGAACTGGAAACAACTTGGAAGGCCATCGAAAGGAAGATGATTGAACTCAGGCTGTGCAGAATGAAGTAGATCCATCTTGCAGTACTGCCAGATCTCCAAGGCACAGCACTTAAAGAAAAAAAAATAAAATATGATCTCACGTATTGGCTCTCCCCAGTGGGAGCCAAAACAGAATGATGGATTTCTACACTCGCTCATGCAGGCATACACAAGTATTGGAAGTGGAAGTTTTTCTGATGACACAGATTTCTAAAGAAAATTAGCTCTGCATCTCGCTCTGATAATTTAACAGTAGGGTATAGAAAAAAGGGGATGATGAAAAATTGTGTCTTGCCTGGGTTTCTGGGTTTCCTCATCTACGAGTGCTTCCCAAGTCCCTGGGCCCGAGGAGTCTATGTTGTCTGAGTTGTGCAAGTCTGGGTTCTTGTCAGTTGGAAGCCAGGCTGAGTTGATTCTCTCTGTATAGCAGTCTGAGCTCTGGTCCAGTCAGCCCTGGCTGGCAGTGACCAGAGAAGGGAGAATCAGGCTTTCTCCCTCTAATGGTGCGGGGAGATCGCTTTGAACTATGACTGCAATTCTGGTGCGTGTTGGTTTTCCATTCAGTTTCAGACAAAGGTGAAGGCAGGTGGCTGCCTAGAGAATCCATTCCATTCTCTTGGAAGAAGGCAGTGCATGACGGTCATCATTGGGAGCCTGGGGGCCGTGGAAGCATGATTCTTTTTGTTCACACGGTTGATCAGCCCTACGCATATTCAAATAACCACTGACTCTCTGTTTTACTCTGTCTTGCTCACTTCCTGACTATACCTTCTGTCTCCTTAAGCACTTAGGTCTCTGATCAGGTTGCCAGTCCCTAGTGAATGTCTCTCTCTGGTCAGCTGGCTGTTCCAAAGGAGGATTGAGCAGAGCCTGACTCAGATATTTTCATTCAAAAGCCTCAGCCTCATGTTAGGGCCCTTTTGGGTGATCGGTTATGGGCAGGGCATCTCTTGCTCTTTTATAAAAAAATAGTATTTGGAGCCAGTACCGTGGTGTAGTGGGCTAATATTCCGGCTCTGTCACAGCACCCCATGTGGGTGCTGGTTCGAGTCTCAGCTGCTCCACTTCTGATCCAGCTCTCTGCTATGGCCCGGAAAAGCAGTGGAAGATGGCCCAAGTGCTTGGGCTCCTGCACCTGCATGGGAGACTCAGAGAAAGCTCCTGGCTCCTATCTTCAGATCAGCCCAGCTCTGGCTATTGTGGACACTTGGGGAATGAGCCAGCGGATGGAAGACCTCTCTTTCTGTCACTCCCTCTCTCTGTCTGTAACTCCACCTTTCAAATAGATAAGTAAATAAAATCTTTAAAAAAAAAGAAGACTTGTAAACTTCTTGAAAAAATAGCATTTTATTTAAGAAGCTAAGAAACTTAAACAATGTCTGATAGTGACAGCTGTTGACTTCTTCAAACCCCAGATTACAGTGCTTTCATTTTTTTTTTTTTATTTATAAATACAACTTACCTGGCCGGCGCTGTGGCTCAATAGGCTAATCCTCCGTCTGCACCGGCACTCTGGGTTCTAGTCCCGGTCGGGGCGCCGGATTCTGTCCCCGTTGCCCCTCATCTAGGCCAGCTCTCTGCTATGGCCCAGGAGTGCAGTGGAGGATGGCCCAAGTGCTTGGGCCCTGCACCCCATGGGAGACCAGGAGGAAGCACGTGGCTCCTGGCTGTGGATCAGTGTGGTGCGCCGGCTGCAGCGCGCTGGCTGCAGTGGCCATTGGAGGGTGAACCAACAGAAAAGGAAGACCTTTCTCTCTGTCTCTCTCTCTCACTGTCCACTCTGCCTGTCAAAAAATAAAAATAAAAATAAAAATAAAAATAAAAATAAAAATAAATAAATACAACTTACCTAATAACATTTTAAAGAGTTCCCAAAGTATAAAGTTGGGTATACTCTAGGAATAATCATTGTACTTATTTCGGTGTATTTTCTTCCAACCCCTCCTCCCATAAATAAGGGGTCTTCAAAAAGTTTACAGAAAATTCATGTTATGAAAAAACTATGCTTGTATTTCAAACTTTTTTGCACCAACTTGTCTTTTAATTTCATTTCCCCATGAGCTTTTTGTTAAAGAAAAAACTATCCTGGTACTTGCTCAAGCAGCAAGAAAGGCTTTATTGAGGACTGCTGTGGTTGGGACTGCTGCGACAGGGGAGAGAGACTGGGTCCACCCGTGAATACAACAGGGCAGGTGGGCACTTACAGCCCAGGAAGGAGCAGAATGACCATCAGTGGATGAGAAATCACCAAGAGGCAGGAGACATCAAGGGCAGGGCGGTTCTCCATGAACTGGCTTAGAAGTTTTGTGTGTGTGTGTGTGTTTGACAGGCAGAGTTAGACAGTGAGAGAGACACAGAGAAAGGTCTTCCTTTTTCTGTTGGTTCACTCCCCAAATGGCCGCTACAGCCAGTGCACTGCGCTGATCCGAAGCCAGGAGCCAGGTGCTTCTCCTGGTCCCCCATGCGGGTGCAGGACCCAAGGACTTGGGCCATCCTCCACTGCACTTCCGGGCCACAGCAGAGAGCTGGACAGAACCGGCACCCCGACCGGGACTAGAACCCAGTGTGCCGGCGCCGGAGGAGGATTAGCTTAGTGAGCCACGGCGCCGGCCAGAAGTCTTTCTGAAGGCAGGTTGGGGTGGTCATGTATTAAGGGTGAGGGGATTCTTTCTAAACTGTGGGACTATACTGAGTCACCCAGGCCTGTAAAGGAGCAAGGCCAAGGCCCAGTTACAAAGAGGGCTCAGAGGAGCCTGCCTGGAATTTGGTCAAGGAAGGAGTCTCTTTCTTTCTTTCTTTTTTTTTTTTTTTTTTGACAGGCAGAGTGGACAGTGAGAGAGAGACAGAGAGAAAGGTCTTCCTTTGCCGTTGGTTCACCCTCCAATGGCCGCTGCAGCCGGTGCACCGCGTTGATCCGATGGCAGGAGCCAGGTACTTATCCTGGTCTCCCATGGGGTGCAGGGCCCAAGCACTTGGGCCATCCTCCACTGCACTCCCTAGCCACAGCAGAGAGCTGGCCTGGAAGAGGGGCAACGGGGACAGAATCCGGCGCCCCAACCGGGACTAGAACCCGGTGTGCCGGCGCCGCTAGGCGGAGGATTAGCCTAGTGAGCCGAGGCGCCAGCCGGAAGGAGTCTCTTTCAATGTGAGGGAGGAAAGATTCTCTCTCTCTCTGTCTCTCTCTCTCTCTCTGTCTATCTATCTATTTATGGATTTATTTATTTATGAAGATCAGAATCCTTCCTCCCATCTCTGTCCTCGATACCCTACCAGGCAGAATTGGCAAACAGAGCAAAGAAATAGTAAGGATAATACAATCTTAACCAGCCCACTGTGTCCAGAAAAGTAAAGAAAGCTTGTCCTACTGGAAGAGAGGGAGGGCGTGTCAGAACATTATACGTAATTTTCCAATAATACCTCTTGATGAAAGTAAGAGTTGTGAGGCCAACATTGTGGCACAGAGGGTAAAGCTGCCATTTGCAGTGATGGTACCCACATCAGCACCTGTTTGAATCCGGGATGTTCCACTTCTTATCCAGCTCTCTGCTAATGCCCTGGGAAAAGTAGCAGAAGATGGTCCAAATCTCTGGGTCCCTGCACCCATGTGGGAGGCCCAGAAGGAGTTCTAGGCTCCTAACTTTGGCCTGGTCAGCTCTGATGTTTGTAGCCATTTGGAGAGTGAATCAGTGGAAGGAAGATCTCTCTTTCTCTCTCTCTTTCTCTCTTTCTCTCTCTCTTTCTCTCTCTCACTGATCTTGAAATAAATAAATTTGTTCTTAAAAAGTAAGAGCTGTGGCCGGCGCCGCGGCTCACTAGGCTAATCCTCCACCTTGTGGCACCAGCACACCGGGTTCTAGTCCCGGTCGGGGCGCTGGATTCTGTCCCGGTTGCCCCTCTTCCAGGCCAGCTCTCTGCTGTGGCCAGGGAGTGCAGTGGAGGATGGCCCAAGTCCTTGGGCCCTGCACCCCATGGGAGACCAGGAGAAGTACCTGGCTCCTGCCTTCAGATCAGCGCGGTGCGCCAGCCTTAGCGCACCGGCCGTGGCGGCCATTGGAGGGTGAACCAACGGCAAAAGGAAGACCTTTCTCTCTGTCTCTCTCTCTCTCTCACTGTCCACTCTGACTGTCAAAAAAAAAAAAAAAAAAAAAAAGAAGTAAGAGCTGTAAGGGAGAAAATCGTATCGTTTGGTATCGGTGCTATGGCATATTAGGCTAAACCTCCGCCTGTGGTGCTGGCATCCCATATGGGTGTTGGTTTGTGTCCCAGCTGCTCCTCTCCCAATTAAGCTCTCTACTAATGGCTTAGGAAAGCAGTGGAAGATGGCCCAAGTTCTTGGGCCCCTGCACCCACGTGAGATCTGGAGGAAGCTCCTGGCTCCTGGCTTCAGATTGGCCCAGCTCAGGCCTTTGTGGTCAGTTGGGAAGTGAACCAGTGGATGGAAGACCTCTCTCTCTGTCTCTCCCTCTCTCTATCTGTAGCTGTGCCTCTCAAATAAAAATAAATAATTCTTTTTTTTTTTAAAAAGTGTATCATTTTCCTTAGCCATCACAAGGTTCAAGGCCGAGGCCTTTCATACAGAAAGATTAACAAGGTAAAGGCACACACCTTTGTTGAATGAAAGGTTTATGTGTCATGAGAGCTTTGGGAAATAAAGACCTGAAGGAGCAACAACACAGACATCATATATTTTTAAGCTCACATTTGATGAAGAGTGAACAGTCACACAGAAGGGTGGTGGGACAGGAAGGGTGTGAGCCAGTGCTAATAAGCTGGCAGGAACTCAGCAAGGTCTTTTTGCTTAGATTCTTCTTGACATCTCCGTGTCCGGTTTCTTTCATCCAGGTGCAGGGAGGACCCTCCTGGGATGAGACTTTGACGGTCTGCTTTAGAGGCAGGCAGAGGATTCTACTATGTGCTGCTTCAGAGAACAGCGAAAGAAGGCCAGAGACTTTGCCAGCTTCTGCTGCTTTCCCAGTTGCCAAGGTGCCATATTTGGGGTCTTGTGTCTTAACCCCTGTCAAGGTATCACATTAGATATTGGGATAAGGGTTTGTGATTTCCTGGGAAAGCACTAATTTTGACAGATTATATAAAGAGCCCATGGCCTTAAAGCAGGTCATCTTGAATTATCAGGTCATGAGAGAGAACTTGCTATGAGACAGAGGGCTCCATGTTTCAGTTACTGGTCTGGTACCAATTAGTCGTATAGCCTTGAACAAGTCACTTGGATGTCACCTTCCTGTGGTCCATCAATGAGTACCATTGGCCTGTTGGCAAGCGTTGATGAGTCTATAAAATCAAAGATGTTATGTGAAATGAGATCTGAGCATTCCACGTCTTGGGCTGCCCCGCCCCTCTGCGCTTGGCTACTCCTGCAGGGTGGTGGCTGGCCCTTTGGCATCTCTCTGCCCCTTTTCTGCAAGAACTGTTCCTGTTGGGTCATCACTCCAAGCTCAGGTGCTTGAGGACGCGGAGACTCAGGCTGCGCAGGATGGGCCACGGTGGCCAGAGGCATCTGAGTTTGGACTAGGGTGAACTTTCAGGAAGCAACATTTTAGTGAGTTTGTGTGGGCAGTGGGATGATCCACGTGGTAATAGGTAGAGCTTCGTGGAGATGCTTCCTGCCCCCTCCCTGCCTGCTCCCTGTCCCCCCAGGCCTGCTCCCTACCCGAATTGTGCTACTTAATTATCTTGGCTGATAGAGATAAATGGCAATCGTTCAGCTCATGAATGAGTGAAAAGAGAAATTGCGGGTGAGTCACCCCAGGACTTCTTCCCAACCTTGCTGGAGCCGGAGCTGTGTTTTTCATGATTCTGTGCTTCGCAGGGACTCTAATTTCCCCTGTTGGCGACCATTACGGCGCTTTATATAGAACAGTAAAGCAACATGGCACATTAACCTTTGCGAACGACACAGTCAGACGGTGCCTTCGTCAGCGGCAGGCTCTGATGCAAACAGGGGAGAAAGACGCAGCTTTGGGACAGATTGCTTTGTACAGATCACAACCCCTCCCACCCTCCCGGCCCTGGGGACATGATGGCAGAGTCATAGACAATGGCAGCTTTGTCCCTACCTCCTGGAGGTGGGGAGAGGGAAACAGAAGGCTGCTTTAGAGCAGGCCATGGGCAACTGACACTTCTCACGGCCTCTGCTGCTGCCACCTGCCCTGAGCCACTGCACCCTCCTTGGATGGCTGCACCAGCTTTGCTACTGGGCCGCCCACTTCTACTGCGGCCCACACTCTGTTTCTGAATTGGCAGCCAGAGCGATGCTTTGAAAACAGAAGTTAGATGAATGCCAGTGCTCCGGAACGCCCTCTCAGGCCCTACATCTCTCTCCAAGTGGAAGACGAAGTCCACTGCAGGAGGGCCCAGGTCATCTGCCCTGGTTTTCGCTTCCCTTCCCCTGTGCTGGCCTCGCTGCCTGGCAGGGCCTTTGCACTGGAGGTCCCCCTGCCGACAGTTCCCATCACCGATTTCTGCACTACCCCTTCTCTCACCGCCTCCAGATCCTTGTTCAGCTGCTATCTTCTTAGTGGGGCCTTTCCTAACACCTTATCTAAACCTGCAGACGTATGCCCCACACTCCTTTCCTCTTTGCCAGCAAGGATCGACACCTAATTTCTTTTTTTTTTTTTTTTTTGAGAGGCAGAGAGACAGCCACACAGAGAAAGAGCCGATCCTCTGGTTCTTTCCCCAAATGCCAACAATGACCAAGGCTGGGCTGGGGCCAAGGCCAGGAGTAGGGGACTCAATCTGGGTCTCCCATGTGGGTGGCAGGGACCCAGATACTTGAGCCGTCACCGTTGCCTCCCAGGATCCACATTAGCAGGAAGCTGGAGTCAGAAGCCAGATACCCTGATGTGAGATGTGTCTTAACCAGCACTTTTACTGCTAGCCCAATTTTTAATTTAAAGCAAACAGTTTACCCATGATCTTGAAGTCACCAGTTTTTCATAGTTTATTTATCATTTACTTTAAAACAAATAAATGATACATGTACTATTATTATTGGTATGATTTTCCACTCATCTCCTCCAAGTACAAACACAGTTCATGAAGTCGGGGGAGTTTCCTCTGTGTTGCTCCTTGCTCTTGGAATGCTATCCTCAGGTCAGAGCTTCTCAAACCTTCATGCCCAGGAATCACCTGAGGACCTTTAAATGCTGTAGATTCTAATAGCGGTAGCTTTGGGATGAGGCATGAGAATTTGCATCCCCAACAAGCTCTCAGGTGATGCTGCAGGCCTGTGGCCCACACCCAGAACAGCAAGGTTACTGACCACGTGGCTCCATATCTAGAGTTTTCCCCCTCAAAGCCAAGTTCAAAAACCCAGGGCTGGGGGCCAGCACTGTGGCATAGCAGATAAAGCCACTGCCAGTGATGTCTGCACCCCATGCAGGTGCTGGGTTGTGTCCTGGCTGCTCCACTTCCAATCCAGCTCTCTGCTAACGTGCCTGTGTGTGAAAAGCAATGGAAGATGGCCCAAACTCTTGGGCCCCTGCCATCCATGTGGGAGACGTGGATGAAGCTCCTGGCTGTGAACCAGCAGATAGAAGATCTCTGTGCCTGTTTCTTCCTCTCTTTCTATAACGCTGACTTTCAAATAAATAAATAAATCTTCAACAAAACAAAACAAAGCAAAAAACCAGGGCTGGGCTGATGGTGTCAGAGTCATAGGGGAAGAGGCTGAACTCACAGATTTCCTGGGTGACTACCTCAGACTGACATTTGAAAGTGCAGTAGGCATTTGACCTCGTAGTTAAGATGCCCACATCCCCACACTGGAGTACTTGGGTTTGATACTTGGCTCCAGCTCCTGACTCCAGCTTCCTGGGAGGCAGCATGTGATGGGCTGAATAATTGGGTTTCTGCCACCCACAGAGGATATCTGCATTGTGGTCACAGCTCCTGGCTTCAGCTTCACCCCAATCTGGCTGTTGCAGGTATTTGGGGAGTAAACCAGTGGATGGGAGCTCTTTTGCTCTCTCTTTTTGTTTGTCTCCCTCTCAAAAAAAAGTTGGGCCCAGGAATGTTGTTTTTATAAAGTGCACCAGGTGATTTGAATGTGCAGCCAGGATAGAAAGCACTGATGGAGAGAAATTAAGAATTTCTTGCATGTGCAAATGTGAATTTGATTTTGCCAAATTGTCATCTAGTGAGTACAAAATGAAAATTGGCATCTCAATCGAAAATCAAAAAACTCCCTTCTTCCTCATTTGCATCATTTGGTTGGCCTCCAAAAGTTTAATGATTTCAACAGAGAAAAAAAGAAAAATCGTGTATAATCATCTTAGAATACCCCCATTCATCTATTTAAAATTCTCTTTAATATTATGAAAATAACATGGTAAACAATTCAAACAGTGAAAATGTATGTAATGAAAAGCAAGCTTTTCCTCCATCCTACATGTCCAGTCTCATTCGTTGCAGGAAACTGTTGTCTCACGAATCTTTCAAGAAAATGCCTAAACAGACACACACTCTACAATAAAAGGGAAATGTGATAAAAAGTCTTTTAGATTTGGCTTTAGGAAAATCACTGTTTGTCTCGGTTGGCCACGTATGGGGTACTGTACTTCTCCCTGTGATCTCTCATGCCGCATGCCCCTGGCACTCCTGCCATTGAGAAGTATGATTTGTGGTCCTTTCCGCTGAGTCTGGGCATACTGATGACTGTGTTGGAAGTGACACCTCTGGAGGTGCCTTCTTCCCAAAGCCGACCACGCTGGTATGAGGAAGCATTGTGGTCACGTGAGAAGCCATGCTTAGGTTTTCTGGCCACCAGCCGTAGGTGAAGTCCCAGACTACAGACATTGTCAGTCTCCAGAAAAGCGAGGGAGGGAGACTCAGATGGTTCCAGCCTCCGGTCTGTGGGCCACTCCAGCAGGAAGCAGAGAAACCTGCCCTGATTGTCTTTGAGTGCCGCACAGTGGGAGTCCCAGGGGGGTGTGTAACCCGAGGGTCTTCCACGTGTCCTCTTGAGTCCATCAGTCTGTATTAGGCTAGGCTAGGCAGTGCGGCAACAGCTAATGTGTGATATCTTACACATTCACACCATAATGCTTGCTTTTCCCCCATTGAGGGTCAGGTGGCCCTCCTCTGTACTCTGACCCCGGGATCCAGTTTCCTCCCATGGACCAAAACTTCCTTGAAATTCAGCTTCCTCTTCACTTAACTGATCTATAAGTGAACAAAGACAACATGGGGATTCCACAGGAATTTGCATGGCTTGGCCTCAAATGAGCTGCATCCCTTCTACCTGTAAACGTATGGCCCCATCCTAACTGCAAGGGAGTCTGGGAAATGTAGTCTTAAGTACCTGGGTTGAAGAGAGAGAGACTGTGGGCATCTCATCAGTTTCTACCACACAGTGCCTCAGTTTCCTCTCTGTATGGGGGTAACAACACCAACCTTACCAGGTTGCCATGTGGCTCAAAATGGGAGACAGCATCTTGTCTCTGAAGAGGTTGGAAGGACTGTACACATTTTAGGTACATGCACTGCTTAACAGTGTTTAAGTCAACAAAACAATTGCATGTGTGATGGTGAGCCCCTAAGATTAAAATGGAGCTGAGGGTGGTTCCATAAAATTATAAATGGAGCTGAAGACTCCCTATTGCCTGATAGTTTTACTGTGCGCTTCCTCTGTTTAGATGTGTTTAGACACACCAGTACTGATCATTGTGGTACAGTTGCCTTCAGTATTCAGTACCACCTCACCTACAGGTTTGTAACCATGGAGTAGTAGGCTCTACCGTTTAGCCTAGGTGCACAGTAGGCTGTACTATTCATGTTTGTCGTGTTAAGTACACTCTGTGGTGCTCACACAGTGACAAAATCACGTCTTGATGCATTTTTTCGGGACATAATCCTGTTTTTAAGCAATGTGTGAGTATACTAGGATGTTTTTCATTAGCGAGAGATCCCTGAGATGGTAGAGACTTGTCATCATCAGTCCAGGGTCCCCATGAATGATGAGT